CTAATGATTTGTCAACTTGGTGGTCGAACTATCGTTTATAGCGATCTCCTGGCTTGAATACACGCAATCCAACCGAATAGCTCGTTGCTAACGAAAATTGTTTCACAGAACGGAACTCGGTTAAACAATTTTTACAACCAATTGGACCAAAACGCATACAAGTATTAACTGATCAATTGTATAGTAAAAGAGCACCGCTACCGGAATTATCCCCTCTACACAGTTAACGCCACCGCGTCCGCGCCGAATACGGTCTCCCAAATGATCTCCCCTATTAAATCACTACAATTTTACCGAATCGCTCGACGCGAAATACCGGGATTTAGAAATGTAAAATGCCTACGTAGCTTAGTAGCCGCCACAATTTTTTAAAAACTGTACCCCGCGTATGTAAAAAAGGCTAATATAAATATTCCGTGAAAATTTCCGGTCTCCACGATAATTTTTAATCCGATTACAACAAAAAAACGCACAAATCATAGTAAAACCTATAATGCGTCGCGCATTACAGGTCCGTTCCGATAAAAAACTTAAAAAATCGATTCGACTTTATGGCATTGTAGTCATTCGTCTCGTAAACATATTTTGCCGTACATATTAACGTGTATGTATATTCGGGCGCCGTATGATGTTCCATATATTTCACAAAATATCTGTAATAGCTATAATTTTTTAGTCTCAATTTTGAAAAAACAAAAAAAAAAATAGTTTCCCGGTAAATTTTTGATGTCTCGAGCTTCCGAGGAGAGGGGAAGTGGGGAGAGGAGATAACATAATTTATACAGAAGGCACGTCACACGTGACACTATATATATATATATATATATACACACAAATGTACATGGGTTACGTCGTGACATATGCGACACGGAATGTCAAGAAATAATATTACTTTACAAACCACGTTTATAAAATTTACGTGTTAAAGTTGTTCGTACGTAATAATAACGATAAATTATTAATTATAAAATACAAGGTAATTTTTTTTTTCTTTGTTTATACACGTGAAACTTCGTGTTTACGAAGTCCACCGGAACCTCAACATCTACGTTTTCGAATCTGTGTTACAAATAATACAGCGGTCATGTTTGAACGCGATATTTCGACATAGTCCGCGCCGAATTCAGTCCGTTTTGCCCACATGAATTCGAACGCCGTTCGCATTGAGTTCTCGTATCCGGACATGATGCAGGAAAAATCGAGGCGTTAGAATGATAACAATCGATAATTTTATCGTTGCCCCCCCCCCCCCGATATGTCCGGGCATTACTTGTCAATGTAACTGTCAATGTACTCAAAGTCAATGGCTATCGCCTCGGAATGCTCGGATTTTCCACTTTGACCGGGTACTTGGGTTTTCAAAGCGAACGGGAAAAGCCGAAAAATATGTACAATTATCCGGTCGTAATGATATTAAATAACTGCTATAAAAAAAAAAAAAAATTAAAAAAATAGGTCGGTTGTCTTGTGCAAACAACGTTGACCCGTTGCCGGCGCGGTGCTACTAAATAATAATAATTATAAAAAAGTAGTCGGCTTCCACGACTAAATATACCGTAAACTAAAATAATTATAGCGTATGTAATTTAAAAAAAAAAAAAAAAAAAAAAAAAGG